CAGCGCGGGGAAAGGCCGCGGCTTCTTCCCCCCCCCCCGGGCAGTTGGTACCACACGAGAAACAGCGAATGAGTGAATGGCTTTGGCAAATTCATACGCGTTTTCCCTTTTGGATTTCACATTAATTACAGAAGTCTTCCATGCAAAGCACAGAGAGTTTCAGCTTCACGACTCCCCTCTCTCCAGAGCAGTGAGAAAGCCCCTCAGCGGGGTAATAAGGACCTGAGCTTCCCGCTCAGGAGTAAAACATAATAGGAAACAGCTTTTTTTTTTTTTTTTTTTTCCTTTTTTTTTTTTTTTTTCCCTTTTTTTTCTTTTTCCTTTCTTCCTCGGAACATCGTGAACACATCCAAAGCGTAGGAGTGTATCCTAAGTGCAAATGTTTTTGCTACACAAAGATAAACGGTATGGTAAAGTTCATGGGGAACGGAAAGCAAACGGACAGCAAACGGACTCCGAGGTCGCCGTCTCCCATCCCAGGCCCTCGCGCACGCGTCCCAGACGGCGGCTTTGAAAAAAACCCCCCCGTTGGCCACAGAGTCGCTGGACAGCGGGAGCACAAAGTAACTTCGGGGAAGGCAAAGACATTTTCAATGTAGCATACAAAAAAAAAGTTATGTATAAATAAAAAAAGCTGTATAAGGAACTGCAGAGCTTCAAGTACATTAAACCCTGAATTCAATGAGGCAGAGGTTTCAATTTTAAAGTGACTACTTCGTACCAGCGCCGGACATCCCCCCGCCCGCCTCCCCCGCCCACCCCCGTATTTCTGTAAAGTTTCAATATATACAGATTTTATGCTCATTGTTAATTACGTCTGGTAATTGTGTCTTTCCCATTCTATCCTGAAATGAAGATCCCAGGTGGTTTTTCAGAAGAAAGGCCAAAACAGAACATTCCAGCCCGACTATTCCACTTCATCAGATTCTCCAAGACCACGGTGGTGACCAGAGAAGGTAATTTGCCCCCCAAACCTGCCTTTAACGTTACCCTTCCTGAGCTGCAAACGCCTTCAGCAGTCTACGGCTAGGACAAGTCTACCCTAATCATCCGAAAGCTCCAACGCTTGCACCGTGTGTTTAGAAAATGGCAGTAACCAACCCCTGCCCCACCTGGGCACCGGCTGCAGAACGCCGGCGCGGCGCTAAGGCTCCAGCAGACCACAAAACCCCGCTGGCTTTGCAGAGCGACTCGGGCACCGCACGCTACGGAGAGCGACAGAGCCGGAGTCAGGCGCGCGGTGCCATCCCAAAAATATAACCCAAAAGTAAGGGGAAGGCCTGACGCTGCGTTCCAGTTCGGGAACGCCCGACAGCCCTAAACAGCAGATTTATCACCAGCAGGTCCCGCGGGCCAGGCCTCGGCATGTAACGCCCGAACGACCCACTGTTCCCCATCTCATTTCAGAGAGCACGCACATTCAATTCAGCAGCTGACTGATGCCAATTATCAAACCACAGCTGTTAAACCTTTCCCTGACAAAGGAATTGCACTGTTATTCTGTCCAGCCTGCGAAAATGTAGTTACAACGCACGCGTGCTTTAACGTTTTGTGTTTGGCAGGCAGAACAACCCCCTACAGCCGCCCGGACACTCTGCATTGGGCATTTCCTTACATCTCAGAACGTTAAAGCTTTTTGAAAGATTCACCTTCTCTCCAAGAGCGTGAAATCCAGTTCAGACTTTTTGTTCGTAAATATGTACGAGCTTATAAGCCAATCTCCTATCTTCCCTTTTAAGTCCAAGCTCAGCTGTTGGCTGTTATTAATTTTTTTTTTTTTTTTTTGTTTTGTTTTTTAGTGGAAAAAAAGGAGCACCTGTAAGAAGTTTGAAAACAGAGTTAACCAAGACATCAAGTGGCAGGGCCCAGGAGCAGCAGCAGGCCTCCATTCACAGCATTTTGCAAGTTTTTAAGCCTTCTGTGAACCTCGGCACGTCCCGCGATACTCGGCGCACCGGCACGTCACAGCAGTACGTCTCACGGGGCAACTGATGGTCCATGGCTCTCGTCCACTCCTTGCCACGTCAAACGCTCGTGAGGGCGTTCTGGTGCTACCCCACCGTTTCCCTCCGGCCAGGAAGTCACCAGGGACACAGAATGGAAAAAAGCACGTAGGTGCACTCAGGCGATAGCACATGTGCAATGTGCAGAACGCTCCACGAGAAAATCATTTGAACGTTCCCAAGCCTAATAAATAATAGAAAGTAAACACACCGGGCCTGACGGACACTGTAGCAAGAGCTATGTTCGGAATTTCTGAAAAGGTCAAACACCCCCACCAGTAAGAGCTTAAAAAGAGACATTTATCACACAAAATGTTAAGAAAAATAAAATCCTTTTTGTAAATTTTTTTTTTTTGTAAAAAATACCAAAATATAGCACTGCTTTCAAGCAAGAGTAGTGTTTCAGACATTCACTGTAGTATGGACCACAAGGTGAAGTGCTTTCCAGATCCTGTTAGCCCTCTGTACCACGAACTGACCCACGAGATGCCGGTGCAGTTAAGCCACCCGGGACACCCACCCGTTTGCAGGAAAGGCATCTGCGGACCGTTCAGAAGGCGAACGGCCAGATCAGTTAAATGGCACAGCAGCTGCTTAAAGAGATTGTAGTGTATTTCGTAATTTTACCATTGCACACAAAAGAATTTTCCCCCTGTACGTGAATTTGAGGATGAGAAGGACGTCAGCCAGAGGCGAGACGTGTTCTAAAGTCCCACGTGTACTTTTTCATCCTACTATACTTTCTTGAACCAAGAAGCCACCATGTTCCTGGAGGTTTATGTAAGGAGTTTTCCAGAGACAAGGTTCTTAATTCAAAGGCTTAATTTAGCCAGATGCCAGCAACACCTGATATTAATTCTTTTCACTCAGGATTGTTTTCAATACCCATCAGCAAAAAGCTAGTGCGAAGTTAGCCAATACCAAGCTATATATCCAATACATAGCAATATCCAAGTCAAAAGTACACTCTAGCTACACCGGGGCAGGGGAGATGCACGGTGCTTTGTAAGACGGGGAGAAGATTCCCCAGCAACTAACTTCAGCCTGGGGAAACAAAGGCCCCACAGCTCCTTGCACAAGAAATGGGGGAGGAGAGGTTTCAAAAAGAAAATCCGGAGCAGGAACCTACCTAAGCTGCTTCAAAAGCCTCACTGAAGGAGCCCATCTCTCCACTGATCATTAACAGAGGAAATCTGAGAGGAAAACTGTCTCATGAGGCTGAAGCTGGCTGCTGTGAATGCGGCCGGCTACCCAGGCAGGAAATACCCTGTTCGTGAAGAAGTGCTGAGATTTTTCTTAGCTCCATTAACAATGAAGATTAAAGTTAGAAGATCAGCCAAAAAATCCAAACATTCAGTCAAACCAAACATGCACACAGGTCAGATTCCTTAAGCACTCAAATTTCTT